AGCTCAGAGTTTGGACTACTAGTCTGAAGTTTCAGCCTCAGACAGCCAGAATCCTAACTACTGGGCCAGCTCTCAAACATACGTAGACACATGCTGAATGTTTGTGTCTTTACATTGTAGAAAAAGCAATCTTGCCATTATTGACAATGTTTATCTACTTAATTTCTCCATAGTTACATGTTGTACATATTCTGTAACAACTGTGCAATTCTTCTACATGTGCTTTTTTGCTTGCAAGTCGGTAAAAATTTTAGGAGGCAAATTTGTGGACCCTGACAAGTTCATACAACCTTATTTTGAAGTGGAGAGATGATCAGACAGGCATGCTGAATGAACATGTAGTCTCCATGGTCAGACATGTTAACTGTATGTTGTGTCCATGACCATGACATGCACACCCTCAAATTGTGCTTTTCTCTGACACCAGTAGGTTACAAGTATACTCCAAAGGAAAAGACACCTTTTCACAGGAGATCATGCCAATGCCAGTAGGGGCCAAGAGAGGCCTGGCTGAGGAGGGCCAAGGCAGGATAGACTTACATTGTACTGTAACAGGAGAGCAAGTACATGTGTGAGGGCCTGCATGGGGGTGTAGTGATTACGAATTACGCAAATTTTCTCTGCCGACTACGAATTACGTCAAAGTTTCAGAGCTGATTATGACTTTACACTTTGCAACTAATGTACTATTACGAATTACATTTTGGGGGAGGCTGCCTACGGATTAGGGAGACTAAAAAGGCCTGATTACGCCTTTACAATAAAGGGCATGCAGGCCCTCATGTATAGGTGTCTCTTGGACCATCCAACTGAGGAAAAACGATTAGTCCTGCCAGTATCAGTGTCACCTTCCTCCAATCCTGTTCATAACATTGAATACTCATGGCTCATCATTTTAAGCTTTCTGGAACTGCACATAACAAAAATACATGTATGTGAAGAGTGAAACCTTTGCACGAGGTGGCTGGCTAGCTTATTAATAATAGTTAGCAAAGCTTCTGTAACATCCAAACTGTGATGTACACATATTGTGACCTGAAGGTCTGACCTCTGGCTCCCCCTGTCCCAGTGAGGGGTTACCACCAGGTCAACAGGCAGAGGAG